ATGTTTCATTCTCATGGCTCCAAAGTACCTGTCACTAAACATCCCCTGCACAAAAGCCTGTCCATAGGTCTTCCCTGGCTCCAGCAACAACCAGGGATTTCTACCCTACAGTCTATGCTGCTGGCGATCAGGCTGAGCTACACTCTAGTCTCAGTGGGGCCAATGCCTCCTCCAACCAAACTCATCCCAGTGAACCTCCTCCCTCCCCCGCCCCCCACAACCTGGGTTAGGACCACATCATGCCCCCTAACTGGGCCCCCTTTGCGCATCTAAACAGAGCTGCCTCCTCTCCAAACCTCCTAGACTGAAACAACATATACTTATTTCCAAAATGTATTCCCTACATTTTAGAAATAAAGCAACAGACTTTGCAATAATCAATGTGTGAATCAAAGCAGAAGTGAATGTTTTAGATTAAATGATACTGTAACTATTACACATCAAACCTATGAGATGAAAAACCATGTGTGCCCTTGAGTGTGTGTGTGAGCGTATGTGTGAGTGTGTGTATGAATATGCATGTGTGTATGTGAGTGTGTGTGTGTTCATGGGCAGCTATACCCTTTGGCTGAGGGAAGCAGAGGTGAGAGCTGAGGTGGGAGGGTCACACCTGGATGATCATGAACAACCTTGAGTTCAGAAGGAAGAGTGTGGATTCACCCTGAAGACAGTGAGGACCATGGAAGGGTTTAAGCATAAAAAGTTTCTGAAAGGGAGTGGCCAGGGAAGATGAGGAGGGTGAACTGGAGAAGGGAGTGAGGGTGTGAAGCTCAGAGCTCAAGAAGGAGGTGGACTTGACAGCTGCCTTGGGGGGTGTGAAGGTGACCTCCCTCCATGCCTTGTTGACTAGGGACACTAAGGGGCCTTCAGGACAGTGAGCCCAGGGGTGGGGGAGGGAGGAGCCTGGGGGCTGTGCAAGATTTATCGGTTCCCACAGGGCAGCTAAGCGCCTTTTCCTTGCCCTGGGACGCAGGTCCTATGTGTCACAGAGGTTCCACTTGACTTTTTGTCTCTGGGAGCCGCGGGATCTCTCCATGTCCTGGGGGAAAATCATCTGAGTCATTTCTGCCCCTTTAGAGCACCATTGATGCCGGGTGTCACTCTCCTCTTCAAACGGTGGAGACTCTTCAGGACTCAGACAAGAACAACATTCATGGGAGTCCTGTTCCAAAGCAGCAGTACACACAGACACATTGAATATCACTTGTGGCGCTACCACATCCTGAATGGTTGAAGGACACATGAGCAGGGCACTTCCTCCCTTGACTTCTCAGCAATACCAACACCTGCCCCACAAAATGGTGATGAATTCTTCTTGACTGAGATGTGTAGGAAATGAAACCAGCCATACAATGCAAATGGAGATGGTGGAGGTTTGAGAAATTTCAAAGTAGAGACACCTCGTCCAAAGGAGCAGAAGGAAGACTCCAGGTCAGACCCCGCATGTGGAGGCACCTGGATGATTCAGTGGGGAGGTCATGGTCTTTGCATGGCATGGGCATGGCTGGGCCAGTGGGTGAGTCTCTAGGACACGGTGAACATCTTACCAGCCTCACAGCATTTGCAATAAGCAATGCAGGATGGGTGACAGACCAAAACAAGAAAAATAAATCAATTACTATTTCTTTTACCAAACTATCTTATTAACTTGTGAGAATTTTTTTTCATGTGGACACAAGAACACGAACTTAGGGGGAAATGGACACAGTGGAATCACTAACATGAAGAACTTCTATCCTCATAGACACCAGGGAGACAGGAAGAGGATAATTGCGATGGCAAAATGAGCCCACGGACTGGCACTCAGATCACTTAAGAAAAATTACAGATCCGTAATGTGGCAGCAGAGAGCAATACAAAAGCAAGCAAACACCATTATCAAGCAACTGATATTGACATGCAAAGGTGCAGTGACATTAGGTAAAGGTGATGAGCTGGCCTTGGCTGGTGTTTCTCAGTGGCTAGAGCATCAACCTGACCACCGAAGGGTCACAGGTTTGCTTTCGGGTCAAGGGCATGTGCTTTGGTTGCAGGTTTGCTCCCAACCCTCACGTGGGATGCAACTAATTAATGTCTGTCTGACATCGATGTTTCTCTCTCTCTC